CTGAAAGGAAACACAGGCTCAACAAGGGTTTACAGAATGCAGTGGCGCAATCAGAGCTCACTACAGCCTCTAACTCCTGGGCTAAGGCAATACTCCTGCCTCAGCCTCCAGGGCTGCTGGGATTAGAGGTGTGAGCCACTGCACCTGGCTCAGTAAACATTCTGTGCTGATGGTCATGTTCTGTTTGCACTGCCCAGCATGGTATTCACTGGCTGCATGTGGTTATTGAGCACTTGAACTGAGGAACTGAGTCTTTAATTTTATTTACTTTTAATTGAGCTTATATTAATATTTAATAGCTACATGTGGTCCATGGCTATTGTATTATTCAGCCCAGTTTTAAATTGGGACTGAATTTATTTTTATTCAAATGTTCTGCCAATTACTGAGAAAGAAGCATTGCAATCTTCCACCATAACTGGTGGGGAATGCTGTTTTTATTTGTCTGAAAATACTTTAAACCCTATTCTTTCACATAGGGTTTTAAAAACATACACTTATCTTGTACCAAGCACTATTTTAAGAGTTTTATAAATATTAAAATTATAAGTTTTACCTCTTCTCTTCTGTATTTTCCATATTTCTCTTGCTAGAGATAATTTTCAAATGTGTCTTTTTCTTTAAGTACAGAGAACAAGCACGGTTATTTCGTAGTGTGTAAATAACTCCAGTACCCGAAGTCTCTCGTTCCAGCCGGCCCTCCCTTATTGCCTTCCTTCCTCGGGTGCCTGGTTGTCTCCTACAGCACACTGAGAATTGTGTTTGAAGTTAGGAATGAGGCCTAGGATCTCCAGAGAAGATCGTGGTCTCTTGTGTTGGGTACCTGCGGGCACTGTTAGTCTGGAACCACTTTCTATATTTCATTCAGCTTTCCTACAGTTATCCTTAGTGCGGAGGGTGGGTCCAGAACTCCTTGTTACCAGAGTTGGTGGTCTCCATGCTGTTCGCTCCTCAGCCCTCTGTAATCTGGTTCTCCCACCTGACGCCTGCCCTGCAGAGCCAGTGGCAGCCTCGCTGCCCGGCGCAGTCTGTGTTCATGCTCACCGTTCCAATTTCTCTGTAATATTGGGCACTGTCAATTGCTCTTTCCTTTCTGAAACTCTTTCCTTAGCTTCTCTCCTCGTTATTTTTTTCTTTTCTAGCTATTTTTCCTCTCTCTCGGGAGTTCTCCTTTTTCTGCCTGCTCATTAAATCATGGTGTCCCCAGGGGCCTGACTGCACCCTCCCCTCTTCTGGCTCTGTGTTTCCTGTGGGCGGTCTGATCCACATTGGAAGCCATGACTTTCATCTCTAATGCCAGCTTCTCTCCTGAGCTCCAGGTAGAAGGTCCAGCTGCCTGCCTGCTAGGTTGTTCCAGGACTGCCTCCCACTCAAGCTGTCAAGCACCTTTTCTTTATCCTTATGTCAGAAGATAGCGTGACCATTCACACACAGCACCTTTGGGAGCCACAGAGCCCAGTGTTGGCATGGGGCTTCCCAGTACTCTCGTGGTGTCTGTCACCCGTCAGTCTGACCCACTGTTGCGGGGCCGTCTGCGCCAGAGAGGCCTCGTTAAAAAGCGTCCTCAGCACCACTTCCCAGCTTGTCTGATCAGTGTGCGTTTCCTAGCTGGCTCTGCTGCCCCATCTCTCTGACCTAACCCATCCTTCACATGTGTAGCTCGAGGCCTCGTTCCTAAAATACAAATAGGATCACATCACTTTCTAGCTTAAACTTTTTCAATGATTCTTCATCATTTCTAGCATAAAATAAAAATTCCTGAGTTTGGGATAGAAAGCCTTTCTTTCCCCCATGCTACCTGCTCCATGCCTTCATCCATAGGCTATGTACTTGTCATTTTGAACTATTTATAATTCCCGCTTTCTTTTTCCCTCCTTGTCTTTGGAAAAGGCATTCCCCCTTCCCAAAATTCTTTCTTTTTCTCTTCCTGGCTAGCTCCAGCCTGTCCTTTTAATTAAATCATTATTGCCTTCCATGGGCAGGTTCCCTGGGAAAGCTGGTTAGACACACCTGGAGGAGGAGAGGAGGAGAAAGGAAATGACTCGATGAAGCTGAGGTGGGCAGCTGTTGCTCCCTCTTTCTCAGTGTTGTAACGTGTAGCTTCTTGCCTCTCCCCCTTCTCTTCCCCTTTGTCTTGATCCTGATGGTCTCTCCTTTCCTCCTCTTGCCAGATCCAGGGAAAAGGAGAGGGGGAGAAGGCGTGGACACATCACTCAGAGAAATGTTTAAGCAGCGAATGGATTTTGGTTCTCATGGTAAAATGGAAGGCTGGCGTCCCGCTTCATCCCTGAACAGCCCAAGTGCTGGGTGTAAGAGATGGTGCACACCAGTGTGGGACATTAAACCCAGGGCTGGACATGGATTGTCTGTTCCTTAAAATGTTAGGCTGGGCATGGTGGCTCACGCCTGTAATCCCAGCACTTCGGGAGGCTGAGGTGGGAAGATCGCTTGAGGCCAGGAGTTGAAGACCAGCCTGGGCAACATAGTGAGATCCTGTCTCTTAAAAAAATTTAGTAATAAATAAAATGGTTTGTTAGAATCAAGGTCATCACCTATGGCAGAAATGACAAATGACCTATAAGGGTTTCTTGCAAATATGTGCCACTCTGTGTGCACTGCCCCATGTAGGGGTTCACCCTACTCTAAAGGCAACCTGGAAATAGGCAAGAGAAGAGTTACAACTGTGCATGCTAAGGAGCAAGAGTCTCTCCTCAGAGGTGACGAGGCTTTGTAATAGCAATCTAGAAGATCATCACCCAGAGCTAAAGCCTAGCGCATGTGAGGCCAGGGGTGTCCTTATGGCCTGAATGCAGGGACTGAGAGAGAACCCCCGATGCAAAAGGAGCTTAGTCAATGTAAGTTCAGGCTGAAAGGAAACACAGGCTCAACAAGGGTTTACACAAGATAATGTTTTATAAAAAAGGTTTATAAAAACATAATGGTAAAATTGTAGAAGGTAATTAAGGGAGATATTTTTGGAGTGTATCCTTAATACCTGATGTTCACCTCAGGTTGGGCAGCCACTTTCACCACCAGTTTCCCTGGCTTGCTGACAGATTTTAGGGCTGTGGAGACCATGGGCCTGAATCATGCTGTCATTTCTGTTGCAAGTGCTGGGGAAGCCCCCTTAAACCAGGAGCCCTCATCCTTAGCTGCTCCTCCTGGGAATGCAGAGCTGTGTTCCTGGTGAGTGACCATAGAAACCACTCCCTTGTAAGGGAGGGCCTTTCAAATTATGGAAGCCAGCGAGCTCTTAGGAGCAGGGGAGGCCCATAAGGAGCGTTTTACAGTCGAGTAACTTAAAAACCAACCTTTTGCAGCTGCCAGATGACTACCACAAATCCAAATCTCTCCCTGAAGCAAAGCATCAGAGGATTGGATTTATCTTGGGTTGTGGAGAAAGCCCTTAGGCTGTGGTACTTTCTAGCTTTTAACGTTTTATTGAGAATTGAGATGCTAAATCTTAGAATTAGGAGTGGCAATAGTTGCTTTTGAATAGGTTTTGTTCAATCCTGGTATATTTGTCTTTGATTTTAAAATGAGATAAATGGTTTGAAAATTATTATGCTCACTTGTTTCTACATTTCTGCTTTCAGCGGAACTTGTGAGTTGAGCCATTAGTGAAAATGTACTGACTTGACTAAGCATTATGATTCTGCAAGCCAAAATATTTCATTGTATGTAAACCTGATTTGAAAGTATTTTTATCTTGTTTTATTATCTCTTTTCAAAAGCACTGCCTGTGAACGAGGTAGAAGAAAAACCTGAACAAATCAGAAAAGAGACTGATAAATTACCCGGCAGTATCAAAGCTCGACAACGACGAAGTGCCTTATTTGCCAGAGGAAATAGGAAAGCTGTCAAAAGTCCCCAAAGATCATCAACTAAAGTAAAAGAAGAAAAGCGTCCATTTGCTCTTTATGGCTGCGGAGAAAAAAAGATGGTTATCGGCAGCCAAAAAACTCACAACGTGTGCGCGTCCGCCCCTGAGCATGAGGTGCGCTCTGGCCCCGCCTTCCCCGCGGGGTCGTGAGCTGGGCTGTGCCCGTCACTGGCTGTCGCGTCCACGGCCACGGAGACCTTAGTGGGTAGCACAGCGGGCCAGGGGAGCCCAGAATTGGGACTCTGATTTAACCAGCAGGAGTCTGGATGTTGGCTGCCTGGAGAGCAGGAATTTTGGCTGAAAGTCGCGGGTAGCGGAGGGTGCACTGACAGCGCCAGCCCAGGAGGTGGGTGGAGTCACCGGGAGGCGCAGAGCCGAGTACAGCCCGAGCTGGGGACTGACTGCCCACCTGGCTTCACTGCGCGCTGCTTGGGCTGCTTGCGTGGGTTTCGGTCTCCTTCGGCTTTGACAACCTGGCATTTTCTTGACTCCTTTTTCAGTGGTTTGTCCGTTTGATTGCTGGGCATCTACCATAGACTCCCTTGTGCTCTTCTGGTTAAATTCAAATTGCTATATTTGCCCCTTTTCGTCCATAACTAATGCATTTTACCCCCAGGAGCTTTAGTTCTCCCCTGACATAGCCACGGCTTGCCACCCTGTGTCAAGCCCTGAAAATATTTCAGACGAGGATCCTCGTGCTCGTAGTCATGAACAGTTATATATGTCAGCATTAATATTGCTACCATGGCTGAAAGCAAGCAGAAAGAGAAACTGCAAACAGTTTGAATTCTGGTTAAATCCTGTGAATGAAAATTTTACTGAACAGACTTCTCAACCCCAGCAGATGGTCTTATTTAGAGATTTGAGACAACAAAGCTGCCGTTTAACCAAAGATCTCTGACAAGTCCATGGGATTAATTTTAACAGGATTTATCTGTAGTACAAAACATTTTAGGTGGTAAAATCCCTTGATTTTTTTTTTTTTTTAGTATATGACTGTAAAACATTGAACGTTTTTAAATTAAATACTTATTCATGCTTGATTCTAAGCAGTTCTAACAATTTTCAGAGCCAATTCTAGAGGCATGTGCAAATTAGTTGTTTATTGTTTGTATCTAACATTTAATTTGCTGTCACTTAGTTTTATTATCACTCATCATGGGTAAGCCATAGCATCGAGTGGGAATGGCTTTTCTGTGAAAGCTTTTCTATATATAATATAAAAACTATATATAGGAAGACAGGGCTTGATTCTGCACTGCTGCAGGTGACCTGGGGGTAGCTAGTTTCATTCTTGAAAATTAGTACAGAAGCCACTTAAGGGCTGGGCATGGTGGCTCACACCTGTAGTAAGCTCAGTACTTTGGGAGGCCGAGGCAAGAGGATTGCTTGAGGCCAGGAGTTTGACACCAGCCTTGGCAATACAGTGAGACTTTTTTTTTTTTTTAAAGCCACTTAAGTTATACTTCTTTATTTTTGAACTCTCCTTAGATTCATGAGTCAGCATTACGAGCCAAGAACAGAAGACAGGTGGCAAAAAGGATATTCGCTGCTCCAAGCTAATGTGCTCACTCTGTGGATGCAGAGGACGGACAGATGAAGTCCTCCGCTTCAGCGAACTCATGGATGACAGAATACATGAGGTGCTATTTGGCCAGAGCTTAAATAGTCACTTGGACAGCTTCTTTTAAAAAGTGTAAATGACAGAAAGGAAAATCAAAACAAGACAAAAACTATCAAAAGATACTAAATGTAGGTTTAAGAAACGAACTGATTAAGTAAGGGTTTTCCTAAGGAGATATCTAAAAGATTGTTTTATTTTGATGAATATTGGTCACCTACCTCGGCAGCAGGCCAGACA